ACCAAGAAACAACAAAACCCCCTAAATTCTTGGGGTAGAGGAAGAACATAAACAAATAGATTGAAAGTTTTTTATGTTTTTCTCTACTTCCCCACCACAGATATTAAAAAGACATGAAATCATTCTTCTGCTAAGAAGAAAATAGTACCACTGAATGACTCAGAACAGTAGCAGTCTGGTTTCCTAAGTTAAACTGTGTGCTGCCAGATCAATCTAATGACAACTATATAAATCCTTGGCAGAAATGTGAAGTTATATTCAGGGACCATTAATTCAGGGATTACTGTCAGGCATGTATACAATCTCACTTAATTCTGTAACAGTCCTGTGAAGTAGTAACAAAATTTTATGGATAAAGAAGCTGAGATTTAGAGCAGCTGAGTATCTTCCTTAAAGCTACAATGCTGGTTAAGAGGCAGGCCAGGACTAGAACTGAGGACTTTGAGTAGAGTGTCCTCCTTGTCACCATACTGCAGGCTCCTTCTAGAAAAGGACTAGAGCAGCAGCACAGCAGAGCAGCCAGACAGGTTAAGGTATCGAGAACTGTCAACGCATTCAGTAAATGTGCAACCATCTTTTTGATGAAGAAAATTCAAGACAAGGGTGGCACAAGTGATAGGGAAAAGGGGGGTTAAGCTATTTTAGTTTTCCCCAGTACCTTCCTCAGAAAACCTTTCTCATGAGATGACAAGCAGCCAACATCAAAAAAAGCAGACTCGTGGTTCCAAAAGCAAATGTTACAAAAACACTGAATATGTCCCCAAATTGTCCTCTGGGGGAATGACATATACATATTATAGGGTCTGAGAAGTAGAGCAATAAAAGACTGTTTAAATTTAATCCAAAGTTTTCCCAAAGTTACCTGACCAAGTAGCCTTTGCTCTCTCAAACAAGACATTAACCTATCAAAATCTACAGATCACACCTCAGGGAAACAGCAAAACCAGTCTTGAGGCATGTCCTGTCAGCTCTGTGGGCCTCTTTGACCATGAACGTGTACGTGGAAGACTTGTTCATGTTGTTGCTGGTTTTGTTTTTTTTTGGTACTGGGGATAGAACTTGGGACCTTTCGATTGCCAGGCAGGCATGGCACCACTGAGCTAAATCCCTAGCCCTTTTGTTTTTGTATTTTTGAGACAGGTTCTCGCTAAGTACTCCTGGCTTGTCTGGAACTCACAGTGAATCCTTCGGGCGTCTTCTGAGTGATGTGGGATTATAGGTATGCACCATCCCGCTCAGCTTGGAGGACTTTTCATTCACTCCCTTAAGGTAAGAAGGACCAGATGGCCAATATGAACATTTTCTAGTTCCATAAGGAAAAAAAAAATTTTTTTTTGCAGTACTGCAGATTGAATCCAAGGGCTTCCTACCACTGAACTATGAGGTGTGATCAAAAGATATGGTAAATATTTAATTAAAAAAATTACAGTAAAAGACATCTTGCCATTAATCTTCCTCAAACTACTCCCTCTTTTTTCAAACACTTAGCGCATCATTCTTGCTACCTTCTGAAGCAGTTCTGCAAGTCTTCTTTCATGAGTCTTTAATTGCACTACCATGGCTATCACAATGTCCTGAACTGATTCAAAGTTTACCTAGCTAGAGGTGGTGGTGCATGCCTGTAATTCCACCACTCCGGAGGCTGAGGCAGGAGGATCACCATGAATTCAAGGCCAGCCTGAACTACATAGCAAGACCCTGTCTCAAAAAACAAAAACAACAAAAAATTTACCTTTCACAGTCATTTTGACTTTGGGGAAGACCCAGAAGTCACATGGTGCCAGATCTGGTGAATAAGGACATGGTTTAATGATGAGGACACGCCTTAATGGAGGAGCCTACCTTTTTTTTTTTTGGTACTGGGGATCAAACTCCAGACCTTGGGCTTTCGAGGCAGGTGCTGGAACCACTGAGCTAAAATCCCTGGCCCATTTAGTTGGTTTTTTTTTTTGGTACCGAGGATCGACCTCCAGACCTTGGGCTTTTGAGGCAGGCAGCAGAACCACTGAGCTAAATCCCCAGCCCCAAGCCTACCTTTTTATTGGATGGCGGTGGGCAGCAGCATTCATATTTTTATCAGACTTCATAAATACACTCACAGAGGACTTCCAGAACTGTTTCACGCCTCTAATGCCAGCACTTGGAGGCTGAAGCAAAAGGATCACCACGAGTTTGAGGCCAGCCTGGACTACTTAGTGACGTCAAGGCTAGCATGAACTACATAGCAAGACCTCATGTCAAAAAACAAAAACAACAAAAAAAAGAAGTGGCAAGAATGATGGAATAAGAATGTTCATATCAAGGGAGGGAATTTTGAGGGGGATTAATGACAATGTGTCTTTCGTTGTAATAAATTTTTAAACATTCATTGTAAAAACTTTGTATACTACCAGCCATTTATTCTTTGAGATAGGGTCTTGATAAGTTGTCAAGGCTGGGTTCTAACCTGTGATCTTGCTGCCTCAGCCTCCCACAGTTCTGGGATCAGAGGCACATGCACATGCTCAGCTTCCATGCATGTCCGAGTCCTCCACAGCTGATAGGAACTGGGCCCTTGTATGTGGCATTGCACCTTTTGCCAGTCCATGACTCACAAAGTTGCCATGTTACCAAACATACTTTGAACCCAGGTTTAAATCACTTTATATCTTTCTTTCTCTGGGTCAAATAAGCCCAATTGCTTATATTCTCTTGACTTATTGTTCATATTTCCATTTATATGATGTTTAACATATGGAGGCAATCAGTAACCTATGTGGTGAGAAAACTCATTAAATTTTTTTTGGCGAACTCATTAAATTTGTACAAGCAGTTCCCTTTGGGATGGATGTCAAGTGTAAAGTGGAACTGTGAGTAGACTTGTGATGTCCAAGTTCTCCGACATGTAGAGAAAAAATGAACTAGGAAAAAGGGAAACTAAAAATCTCATCTCTCCCCATATTCTCATTTACTTAAAATAGGAGTCATGGACTTTTCCACTTTGAAAATCCTTTAGCTCCAGCCTTCCTTTATACACGAGATTGGTGACGCTTAGAAAGGCTAGATAGTCCCATGCAGCTTTTCTGTAGACCTGGGCTGGAACTCAGCTCTTCGTTCAGTGCTCTTTCTCTTCTTTCCTAATTTATGACATTTATGTCATTTTAATTTTTTGATTACTGGCCACAATAAGAGCTTGCCTCCTTTGCTTTCCTTTTGTGCTGGAGTATGAGGCAAGCCACATGCACACCACTCCTCTGTGGTGGAGGTTACACTCTTGGTGGTCCTGTGCCTTGCCTTTTGCCCTTACCCCCTGCTCGACTTGTTCTCCCTCTGCAGTTTTGAAGTATGTGAAACTTCCCAAGCATTCTAGGATCAGGAGGAAAACGACTTCTAGTTTGACTTTCTCCATTGGGCTTGAATTTGCCCCAGGAGTCTGGGAGGCTAGAGAACTAACAAAAAGTAAACTGCCTTGGTGGCCCACGTCTGGAATCCCAGGACTCATGAGGCTGAGGCAGGAGGATGTTTAGTTCGAGATCAGCCTAGGGAACTCAGCAAGACACTGTCTCAAAATTTAAAAAAAAATTTAAAAGGTGTGGGGGGAGACTGGGGGGCTGGGAATGTAGCGCAAGTGAAGGCTCTGAGTTCAATTCCCAGTACCACCCCCCCCC